CGGAAAGGTGCCAAAATCAGCCTGCACTTCTGGGGAGGAGATTAACTGCGTTTGGGTACCACCAGGCAAGAGAGAGCCCTTCATTAGAAAAGGGTCATTTCAAAATGGTGATGAACTTGGGAGTGGGGACAGAGAGGGAGAAGGGAGGCAGCACAAACCAAAAATCAGCAAGAAGACAGAGAGAGGCGCGCACACACAGGGAGAAACACGGAGAAGGGAACCCATAGTCACGGAGCCCCTGAAACTCAATTTCTGAACCCCCAAGCCATCTATTTCTACCCAATTGAGCACAGGAGCCAGGGGCAGAGATGCGGGTGCAGGAGGCCAGAGAACACTGCGGTAGAACCCACCGCTCAGAGGCGCTTGATCCGCCTTCCTCCCATTTTGCCGTCACCCTCAGGCACCCGGAGCAGGAGGACCTCGGGGCCCTGCTCAGCGCACCCCACTGCTTCCCTCCAGGCATCTTCCTGCCTCGCTCCGGGAATCGCCCTCCGAGCCGAGGATTGGGGATGGGAGTTGCGTTAGGGAGGTAGTGGGCGACGCGGGCGGAGGGAGGAGGCAGCGAAAGCGATTTTGTTTTGCAGTTAGCATGAGCTCATCTCTGGGCTGAGGTCTGAAGTGGTAGGAGTAGAAAGCTGATCGCCCAGCTCCTGCCAGTGGCTGGTCTGCAAATGCAATTTAGACGGTGCAAAAAATTGCCTGGAGCAAACCAACTGGGGGTCACGTCTGCGGGTGGCGTCTCCCCACTTGGGGAGGGTCCCGGTAGCTCCCACCCCAGGCTCTCTTGGAAACTAGCTACAGGTACGGAAATCCTACCCGTGGGAGATGAGCAATTAACATCTACATCTAGGTTAAGACCCTGCCCTCGATTTAAGTACCTCCTTAAGCTCGTTTCGAAATTTTCCCAAGAAGTAAAGGTTTGCTGGGTGGCTTGGGGCTGGGAAGCTGAGGGAGGAGTTGGGAAATGCCCAGTTTCGAGGCATCTTCTCATCTGCCACATTCCATGCGCCTAACCTGCTCTCCTAGGAGCCCAGCACTTTTTGTCTATAAGCCTGTTTTCGGACCATATTTCACTATCATGAAAACCCATTTAAATCATCGCCTTGTTTTTCGCAGATTGCTTCTTGTAAATGGGGCCGTTAATCCAGGATGTCAAGCAGGATGGAGTGGAGCGTGGACAGGGGAGAGATGGAAGGGAAATAAACCAAACAGGGAAGGTACCTCCTCGGGTGGGGTGGGAGGGATTCAGCAGGATCTCCAGGGTGGAAATGCGCGAAGGCGGATTCCCGAGCCCCTGGAGTCCAAGCCGGCTTTTAGGGTTAAGAGCGCAGGGAGCCACAGCGTGCTCTGCTCCGGAGGGAGCGCCCCCCTACCTGGAAGAGCCTCAGGATGTTGGCTACCATGATGGAGACCGAACTCCCCGAAGCCCCAATCACTCCAACTACTTTCTCCGGCTTGACGAAAACCGGGGGCTCGCCGTTGGTGCAGCGCACGTCGGAGGTGTCCTTCTGGATGAGCGCCTGGACAAAAGTGAGCGACTGTTCGAGCGCGTAAGTGTCCCTGGAACAAGTGTCCAGGATCCGCGCGCCCAGCGTCACGTTGGGCAGTAGGTTGGGATCGCTGTTGATCTGGTCCAAGGCATAGAGCATCGCTTCCAGCCTGTGGATCCCGTTCTCCCTCTTGATGTCGCCGCAGGGCACTCCGCTGGGACCCTTGGCGTGCACGGGGAACAGCCCCCCGAGGGTGACGTCCCCCTCGATCCGGATCGAGTGCGGGGCGTACATCTCCTGGCCGCGCGCCGCCGCCGCCAGCGCGC